TTTTATTGAATTAATGTTTATGTGTGCAAAATGAGCAATACAATTCATTAATAATACGTAAAATATTAAAACACACGAGGAAATGACACAGCATTGTTTTCGTTGATTACAAAACCAGTGACTGACTGGTTCTACATATAAAACTGAAGAAAATAAGACCTTGGTTGTAGCTGTAGTAAAATTAATATGGTTGTTTTAAGTAATGTTAATAAATGGAACAATAGAAGTAGCTAACAATAATGGTAAAGAAAAAAAGAGAGATCGTGTATGTAAGTGCGCACACGTGAAAACATATCGTCATTACTTTACATAAGAATATAAAAGCAACACTTATATACTGTTCATATATACCGTATATACTCGTCTATAACCCCCCTTCGTATATAGGTCGACCCCGATTTTTTGACCAAGAAATCGTTAATTTATGATATTCCTCGTTTATAGGTCGACCCAAGTTTTTGAGGGTAAAGGAACAACAAAACCTTCAGAAAAACACTAGGTCCTATAAACTTGTTTACCATTAATTATTCCGACACTTTACACTGAAACGCGGGTAGTTTCAACAAAAATATTGTATATTTCCATTCAAGTATTTATTCAAGTCAATTAGGAGGGAATATTATTGTAATACAACAGTTTTCTAACTAAACCATTCGAAAAGCGATTACGGTAACATATTTTGAACGAAAGAATGCGAGTCATTGTTTTCGTCACAATTTTATCCCACTTTCCACTGTAATACGTACGTCATTTCAGCAAAAAATATTACATTTCCGTGAATGTAGTATATCAAGCACAGTATGAATATAATATCATTGTAATATAACAGTATTTTAACCGAAAACTATTAAAAAAACGAGTAACATATCTTGAACATCGAAAGGTTTGGTAAAGTCTTCTGTTTTCATCATGTAGTTTATCCTAATTTACATTGAAATACATCATGTTTCAGCAAAACTACTATTTATTTCTGAGAATATGGAAATTAATATTTTTGCTGAAATGACGTACGTATTATAGTGGAAAGTGGGAAAAAATCGTGACAAAAACAATGACTTTCGCTTTCTTTCGTTGAAAAGATGTTACCGTAATCGCTTTTCGAATGGTTCAGTTAAAAACTGTTGTATTACAATAATATTCTCTCCTAATTCACTTGTGATGTAACAGTTTTTTAACTGAAAACAATTCGAAAAACACGTGTACCGTCTAGCTGATACGGCAGCGCCCTGGTCGCGGAGGCTTTGTGTTTGCATCGGCCCTTCTTAAGCAGCTTTTAATTTTAGTGTAAGTTGAAATTGTGTTTACCGGTATATTTTTATTTTCTTGCTTCTTATTTTCCAGAAATATGACAAGTTTGTATATAATACAATGTTACGGTATTCATTTTTAAAAATACAGAAGACACCAAACAAATACCAGTACTGTGGTTATTTGCGTGACTCTCCCGCCAAAAAGGACCAAACAGCTGGTACTCTGTCCCTCAGCCCTACCAAAAATAGCCCAATGACATCTTTCTTGTATATTCTCTTCCAATTTCTCACTTTAACTGGTATTTTTTACTTCATATTGCTTACATCAGATAAACTACAGTAATTGAGGTTAGACACTGTTATAAATTTGATTGCCGGGTCCTGGCAGGTGCCGTTAGAACCACCTGACCCTACCAACAGTGTTGCAAGTCAGACAGCATTTTTTTAATCATCCATGTGCACGAGAAAGGATGGATGGATGAAGGCGGCATACAAATATGGCTTAAAAAAGTCTGGAACTTTAGACCAGGGGGACTGCGCAAAGAAAAAAGTCTTCTTGTGTGGGATATGTTTCGGTCACATCTTGTTGACAGTGTTACTGCTGGGATTAGGAAGGAAAACACTGATACAGCTGTGATTCCTGGTGGATTAACAAGTCTTGTCCAACCACTGGATGTTTCCATAAACAAACCATTTGAAGATGCGGTAAGAGTGAAGTGGAACAACTGGATGATAGAAGGCGATAAGACATACACAAAGGGAGGCAACATCCAAGCTCCATCACCAGCAACATTATGTGAATGGATTGTAGAGGCCTGGGATGCAATCAGACCAGAAATTGTGGTGAAATCTTTTAAGAAATGTGGGATTTCGAATGCTCTTGATGGAACAGAAGACGACTTGTTGTGGGATTATGAGGCTAATGAGAGCGTGAATGAGGATGAAGATATTGATGATCCTATGGCTGATGATGGTGTTGATCCATATGACGATGCTGTTCAAGGAGAGGACTGGGAGGAGCTGTTTGGTGCTGCAGATGATGACAAGGAAAATGATTTTGATGGATTTTAATGAAAATATTCAGAAATATGGTATCATAGTATTTATTCAAGTCAATTGGGATAGAATATTATTGTAATACAACAGTTTTTTAACTGAAAACCATTCGAAAAGCGATTGCCGTAAAATCTTTTGAACGACGAAAGAAAGTGAAAGTCATTGTTTTCGTCACAATTTTATCCCACTTTCCACTGTAATACGTACGTCATTTCAGCAAAAATATTACATTTCCATATTTATTTCTGAGAATATATTCATTCAGGCACAGTTAAGGTAAAATATACTTGTGATGTAATATTTTAATGAAAATATTTATAAATAAGGTATCGTATTTTTCTTTTATTTCAAATTTAATTAACAAAGATTGATGTTTCAAATTTAATTAACAAAAATTTATGTATCTATAAATAAACTTTTAAAAATGAATACTTTATGTTTTACATACTCCTGTGCTACCATACCATGCATTTGGCTACTTTGGGCTTGCTATGATGACACAAGAGATCTGCCCTGGCAACTGTACCGACACTCACAGCGGGTGGTGAGTTGGTGCGTCGTTTCCATTGTTTACTGGTAGTTACTGGTAAATATTTTTCAACCTAACGAAACTATTACCCGTATAGAGGTCGACCCCCAACTTTTTGCCCAAAAATTTGGTCTTCAGAACTCGTGCTATACACGGGTATATACGGTATTTTAATTAATGTTTCTGAATATGTTTTTATTGAATTAATGTTTGTGTGTGCAAAATTAACAATACAATTTATTAATAATGAGGAGACGAGACGGCTGCCGGCATTGTTTATGTTAAAGCTTACAAAACCAGTGACTGATTGGTTCTACATATAAAATTGAAGAAAATAAGACCCTGATTGTAACTGTAGTAAAATTAATGTAAAAAAAATGAATATGGTTGTTTGAAGTACCTGTAATGTTATTTAATGTTAATAAATGGAACAATATAATTAGCTAACCATTAATGGTAAAAAAAAGTGAGACTGTGCGTATGTAAGTGCGTACATGTGAAAACATATCGTCATTACTCTACATAAGAATATGAAAGCAACACTTATTTACTGCTCATATATATTGAAGGGTTAAATGTTGTACTCTGTATAGACAAGCAGAGAGAGAGAGAGAGAGAGCAGCCGAACTGTCGGATGTAAACAAACCTTAATTTACCGTGGCTTTGTTGTTTTTTTTTTTAAGGGGATTAGCCCACCCGGGCATAGGTCACTGACCCACATTGGGGCCTGAGGGGCAAAAATTTAATACTCCTGTAATAATAATAATAATTCAGATAAAAAAAAAAAAACTGCCTATCTACCTATTGGACAAACTAAAATCGTTCCGGACCACGGGAGTTTCCGGACCACAGAATGCCGGACTAGAGAGGTACAACTTGTATTAAAATTTTTAGTCATTTTAACAATTATTTAACATAATTTAAGTACAGGGAAACTAGTTTCCCTGTACTTAAATTATGTTAACCGGCGCATGACTGTATTTAGGTTCATTTAGTGCCGGGTGATTAAAACATTATTGACAAATACGAGTAAATAATTTTACCAAGAAAATCTAGCACTCAATCCCATATGAGCCATTGCAGTCTCTTGTTTACAGTACAGCGTGGTATCAGCTGATCGTTCTTGCTCTCCCTAACAATGTTGCCAGCACTCACCAACTCTCTGAGTGTTCAGTTAGCTAGGTGTACTGTATATGTATAAAGCCTATGTAGGTTCAGTTACCATTACTTTGTTTTGTTATATTGTTCAACACCTGGCAAACTACCCAGTCACCCAAACTACCGTCACGGTAGTAAACCATATCAACATGGGTAGGTCTGCGGCTCACCCGGCAGTCTTACCAGTCTGTCCATACAGAGCACGCGTCTGTCCCGTGCTTTTGCCTCTGTACTGATATTCCTTCAGTAAACTAATTGTCTTATTACTCGTCAACTCGGTAATTCGACTGACCCAGAGCCCCTTTTTTGTCGAATTAACCTAAATAAGCAAAAGATCACTAAATTAATGTTATACCGCTACCCGCACTACTCGTGGCTTTCTGCGTATGCTATAACTATGGTCACATTTGAACCAATCGTGTAAGCGATAACCACGCACACGAGACCCAATTAAAATGAGACCCCACTGTACATATTAAATCTATCTATGACAACCAAGTTTCCCTGAATTTTGTGAAGATATCTACAGGTTGGACCTCACTAATCGGGTAAGCTTGGGACCAGACCGGCTCTGGATGAGCAAAAATTCTGAACCATCGAAGCTGAGGTAAAAAAACCCGGCAAAATAATGCAATAAATGTATAATTACTGTCTAATTTCTTCAGTAAAGACACTTTTAATAAAATAGTTGATGCCACATGCTTATGTTTTGCCACATTAAAACCACTTCCAATGCTTGTTGGTCTCTTAGGAGGCATATTTAGGGGTAAATTATAAGTATTTAAAGATAAAATAGTGGCAACAGCTGCTATGACAGACGTCCCGCACCATCGAAGCTGCCGGACTATGTGGTATCGGATTAGCGGGGTCCAACCTGTACTTGGTTGCCAGAGTTTTATCTGTACTTACTATACCATGGTGGGTCAAGTGAACACTCCCTCTATTTGTCTAATTGAAAAAGTTGTTTGGATTTAGTAGTTTACAATACTGCATTGTACTCTACTTACATGGATGACTTCACCGTGACTTGCTCCAACGAGTATGTTGTTCATGTCCACGTGTGCATGGTAATTTATATACATATTGTACAACGATTCCTCAACATACTTGTACACCTGTGGAAACAAAGTAAAATATCAGTTACCATAATATACATCCCGTACAAAATACTTTATTTTCACCCATTCACTGCACCACTAGTCTTATGCTTTATATCACAGTTGCATAACAAACAAAATATTATCACTCAAGGTAGTTAGTATCAAAGTTTACTGATGTGTTGTGCCACACAAAATGGTCAGTGCCTCAAAGGGGTAATCGTGCATGTAGCCTTATGTCTGTACATCATATAACCAGGATTAAGGGAAAATTGAAGGTGCCTATTTGTATGACTGTTGGGAAGGCCTAATTGGTACCTAATTGTGTAATACTGTAATAGTAGAACACTGTCTGAAGGCTATTTTGTTTATGTTCATCAGATATTAATAAACATAACTATCTTCTGTGACAGAGAGATATATTTACAAGTATAATGATCTGAGAACCTCACAAGTGTATTAGGTATATGTACAGTGTTGAGGTTGACACATAAACTGTGTTAAATTGATTGATTGGTTGTGGTAATTACTTCCCTGGCAATGCAACAGCTTAGATCAAATGTCACCAAATTAAAATAAAGGCTGAAGTTATCGTATTTATGTCTGTATGAGGTTAATATATCTCATTTGACAGGTAGCCACGGACAGTGCCAGGATTCGAGTGAATGTATGTAAAGTGTTGATTTTAACCTATAAACTGTGTGTAAAGTGAATTGAGCTATGCCAAGCTAGGCATCATTGTCTTTGTCTAAACTGGCGCCCTAAACCATATTTCCTCAATTTCGAGGAACACTGGTCCCCCAAGTTATGAATACCCAGATTATGAAATTCATCCTCATAAAAAACATAAATCATTACCACATAATTCAAGGTAAAAAAAAAAAAAAAATTATGTAAAATTTTGTCATAAATAATTGTAGGAAAAATATTTTTAGACTAAAATTGATTAATTAATCAAAAATTTAAATTCACATTTCTTGGCACATACGCAGCGTCGATGTTGGGCCTGCTAAAACATCTCCCACTGGAGTTAATATTAAGTGTCCTATAAAGGGCTGGCAACCTACTACACCAATGTTAGAGATTCTTCAATAGATTGAACTGTTCATACTGCTGCTCACCTTATTAAAACTCAACTATTTAAATGCTCTGTTAGGCTAAGGGAACTCATAACACAACACATCAATATCAAAATGGGCAGAATATGTTAACATGATGCCCAACACATGTAACTTTCTCAATGGTGATTCCTCAACACCACAACTGCCACAAGATCTTAATGAGTGACATACTGTACCTCCTGGACAACACCAGCTTCTAAGTCTGTTCTTCTGAGTGAGCCGTCATAACTTGTTGTGTACAGATGCCTGTGGTTCCAAGGGTCAACAGTGAGGCAGTTAATGGGGCGGGAGTGAGGACTCAAGTAGTATGCGCCACAAGTCTCGTCCTTACGTTCAACATCCCAGATTCCTGTAAGGATTCAGGAGTCACTTGGGTCTTGTAGGGTACACTTCATAATATATAAATAACACACACACACACACACACACACACAAAAAAAAGACAATTTAGTTTCGGAAAGAAGTGGGATCAGTGTTGAATAGTGATCAACAGTGTTTAAGCCAGTGAATTCAGCACTAGACAGTACCAGTGAGAACCGTGACCCACCAGTGAGATAAGCACCCCTGGGAACTGACCACCATCTTCTGACCAGGAGGTGCTAATCAGTCCACCCTGGGAACAACAGAGGGCCGGCCGGCTATGCACCTGACTACGGGATAACACAACATCACCGAGCAGTGAGGTACTGTGACACCACCCAGTGTCCCCATGACAACTTGAGGTCCTTCATATCAACACCGGAGAATGAGTTACCACACCACGTGAACATCACACCACCCGGTGTCTCCATGACCACGTGAGACCCCTCATATCAACACCCGAGGACAAGTTAGTACACCACGTGAACACCACACCACCTGGTGTCTAAATGACCAGCCCACGCCCGGGCCATCAAATGTAAACTATAATAATTTGTATGTTCAATCATTGTTCCTTCTTCTTTCAGTAATGAAAGCTTTTGGTCAATGACCCACCCACCCCATGTCTTTGTATGTAATAAATCATTTTTGTCTAATGTATATTTTCAGCCTTAAGGCTGCCGACTCTTTCAATAAACCGTTAATTATTATTATTATTACACACACACACACACTGTAAGAAGAGAGAACATGAAGAAAATGAAGGAAAACTGCATAGCATAAGTTGTTACATAAGAGAAGCTACAGTACATAAAGTGTAAGATTTAGAGGGGGAGGAGTGTACAGGTGACATGTAGTGATCAAATTCCCAGTCACAAACGAACACCAACTATTTTAATACACTATCAATTTGGAATCAATGATGGTGGTGGTATGAGGCGGGCGGGCGGTCGGATTACATGACACTACTGACTCATATATACAGTTACATTTATCATAAGTGATTTAAAAATAAGAAAATAATAGATATGACTTATCTAGAGAAGGCATGTTTTCTCTGGCTCTGTACAGTAGATGGGCTGGACACTCAAGGAAGCAAGATTTAAATGTTCATAACCAGGACTTAAAATATGACATTAGTAAAACATAAATTCAGTAAAGCTTTCAATTCACAAAATGGTTTTGATGTTGGGAGACTTAACACTTCCACAATAATACAACAACCAAACTTATAACACAGTCCACGGAGCCTACCTAATTCACCCCATTTACCACCAACCAGCAGCAAAGTTTTGTCCACAGTTGGGTGGATTTGCACAGAAAAAGTCCGGCTGGGCATGACCTTAGCCACACGAGCCTCATTGATTTCCATTTTTTTCATCGTCTGTAACACACTGAAATGAAAGAACAAAATTATATGTATACTGTAACCATATAACAAAAGTGTCATCCCAAATTATAGTTTTATAATATATTGTATGTTTCTTTATAACTAAGCCACATTGGGGTATTGTAATGGTTATTCCACAAATTACATAGTTTCATTACGTGTAACAGGGCAACATGCCATCTCCACGGATATTACTCCTCATGATCCACCGTTTAGAGAAATTTGACTAACTTCAGGTTTTTCAGGAACTCATCCCTACCATTAAATGAGGGAAACCTGTAATTCATTCAAGTGCTATGTGGTACAGTAGGGTCGGGATATATAGCGACTTTATATAAAGAATTTTTTTATATTGCGGTTACCAAAATTATCGACATTTTCCAATATACAGTAGACTCACAACTTACGCAGGGTTACGTTCCTGGGGCCTCGTGTAAAGTCAGAAACACTCCTAAATCACCCATAAATCACTATATAAAATATATACTTACATATACACTAAAACTCATAACTCACTACTGTAATGTGATACGTACAGGTGATTAATTTTTATATCTTGTGAAAAATATATGACATTTATATTAAAATTATTCGTTGTCTTGCAAGGATTCCAGCAATGCAAATTATATTCACATAACTTTAGTCTGTGATATTATATAAGATAAAAACTGTAAGCTTATAACCACCAAACCCCAGCTGGGAAGATGGGAAGGAGGGAGGGAGGTGAGGTGATATGTTTGACAGTTGATGACAAGGTCTAGTGCTTATTTATTTATCTGTCACTGAACTGACCTGGGAGAATATAATTAACATTGCTGGAATTCTTATTACATAGTGATTAGTTTGAATATAAACATGCTATAATTCGCAATAGACATACAAATTTTAGTTCTAATTAGTAATTTTATTACAAAGGTTTAAAATTGTTATCTCTTGTGCAAAATATATGATGTTTATGTTTGAATTATTAGCGGTCTTGCCAGGATTCCAGCAATGCAGTTTATATTCTGTTAACTTTAGACTGTACCATTTTATGTCAAGTTTAGTCACTTTTATTGGCCTCCAGAACCTAACCCTCTTTTCCCCATTAATTACATGTAATTATATATCACGATTTAGTATATAGCGAACATCCTTGGACCTTATTTGGTGATATATCCCGACCCAACTGTACATTGTTGAGCAAAAAAACAAAATCCACTGCTTCTATTTTAACGAGATACTGTACTGTATACAGTATTCCAAGTCCAATATAACATCTTGGTTATTGTTAATATGTAGAGGTAAAAAATATGTTAGGAGATAAACTGACACTGGAAGTTAAGTGATAGCAGTTTGCAGTTAATACTGTACAGTGCAGCAACAAGCACTGACATGTACTGTACATTTATAATGCTGAAACAATCTGTCATACTCTACTGAACTGAATCATGACTATACAGGGAGGGGTTAAGGCTTCACCCTTTCCAGTTGCTGACATAATCAAATCATTCTGAGAAATACCACAATAATTATACATAGTAATAATTATCCAATCATGATTATGGAATAGTGTACAGTACATACCTTGTCATGCTGCCAGACCAAACACCCTTTCCTCCTGCAGGGGATGACAATGTCTCAAAGTCTTTCTTAAATAGTTCAAAATTCTCTTTGTTTTGGGAGCTGTAATAGTCTGTCAGAGGCGCTGGACCTGCAAAAAATTACATCTCAAACATGATGCATTATAGTTGTCACCAGTACAGTAGTTCCTTATTTCACAGCGCTGATTCTCCTTTCAATACTTGTAATATAACACACATGAATCAGTTCTCTAAACTCTTTGGACATGCTATTTGACCTAACCTAACCCCCACCAGGTAGCATGAAAGGCGTTTAATTATCAGGTGAAATAGGAAAAGGCGTTTAATTATCAGGTGAAATAGGAAAAGGCGTTTAATTATCAGGTGAAATAGGAAAAGGTGTTTAATTATCAGGTGAAATAGGAAAAGGTGCTTAATTATCAGGTGAAATAGGAAAAGGTGTTTAATTATCAGGTGAAATAGGAAAAGGTGTTTAATTATTAGGTGAAATAGGAAAAGGTGTTTAATTATCAGGTGAAATAGGAAAAGGTGTTTAATTATCAGGTGAAATAGGAAAAGGTGTTTAATTATCAGGTGAAATAGGAAAAGGTGTTTAATTATCAGGTGAAATAGAAAAGGGTATTTAATCATTAAGTGAAATAGGAAAAGGTGTTTAATTATCAGGTGAAATAGAAAAGGGTATTTAATTATTAGGTGAAATAGGAAAAGGTGTTTAATTATCAGGTGAAATAGGGAAAGGTGTTTAATTATCAGGTGAAATAGGAAAAGGTGTTTAATTATCAGGTGAAATAGGAAAGGGTGTTTAATTATTAGGTGAAATAGGAAAAGGTGTTTAATTATCAGGTGAAATAGGAAAAGGTGTTTAATTATCAGGTGAAATAGGAAAGGTGTTTAATTATCAGGTGAAATAGGAAAAGGTGTTTAATTATCAGGTGAAATAGGAAAGGTGTTTAATTATCAGGTGAAATAGGAAAAGGTGTTTAATTATCAGGTGAAATAGGAAAGGTGTTTAATTATCAGGTGAAATAGGAAAAGGTGTTTAATTATCAGGTGAAATAGGAAAGGTGTTTAATTATCAGGTGAAATAGGAAAAGGTGTTTAATTATTAGGGGAAATAGGAAAGGTGTTTAATTATCAGATGAAAAAGGAAAAGGTGTTTAATTATCAGGTGAAATAGGAAAGGTGTTTAATTATCAGATGAAAAAGGAAAAGGTGTTTAATTATCAGGTGAAATAGGAAAAGGTGTTTAATTATCAGGTGAAATAGGAAAAGGTGTTTAATTATCAGGTGAAATAGGAAAAGGTGTTTAATTATCAGGTGAAATAAGCTAGTGTGTCTAAACCTAATCTTCATGTGAATCACTTAGTTCCCTAAAAACTTTTATGCAATCATACATACCAACAACATCAATCATACATACCAACAACATCAATCATACATACCAACAACATCAATCATACATACCAACAACATCAATCATACATACCAACAACATCAATCATACATACCAACAACATCAATCATACATACCAACAACATCAATCATACATAATCCAACCAACATCAATCATACATACCAACATACATCAATCATACATACCAACAACATCAATCATACATACCAACAACATCAATCATACATACCAACAACATCAATCATACATACCAACAACATCAATCATACATACCAACAACATCAATCATACATACCAACAACATCAATCATACATACCAACAACATCAATCACACATACCAACAACATCAATCATACATACCAACAACATCAATCATACATACCAACAACATCAATCATACATACCAACAACATCAATCATACATACCAACAACATCAATCATACATACCAACAACATCAATCATACATACCAACATCATCAATCATACATACCAACAACATCAATCATACATACCAACATCAATCATACATACCAACAACATCAATCATACATACCAACAACATCAATCATCAATCATACATACCAACAACATCAATCATACATACCAACAACATCAATCTTACATACCAACAACATCAATCATACATACCAACATCAATCATACATACCAACATCAATCATACACTTACCAACAAACATCAATCATACATACCAACATCATAAATCATACATACCAACAACATCAATCATACATACCAATCATACATACCAACATCATAAATCATACATACCAACATCAATCATACATACCAACAACATCAATCATACATACCAACATCACATAAACATCATAAATCATACATACCAACAACATCAATCATACATACCAACAACATCAATCATACATACCAACATCATAAATCATACATACCAACAACATCAATCATACATACCAACAACATCAATCAAACATACCAACAACATCAATAATACATACCAACATCATAAATCATACATACCAACAACATCAATCATACATACCAACATCATAAATCATACATACCAACATCCATCATACATACCAACATCAATCATACATGCCAACAACATCAATCATACATACCAACATCATAAATCATACATGCCAACATCAATCATACATACCAACATCATAAATCATACATACCAACATCAATCTTACATACCAACAACATCAATCATACATACCAACAACATCAATCATACATACTACAACATCAATCATACATACCAACATCAATCATACATACCAACAACATCAATCATACATACCAACAACATCAATCATACATACCAACATCATAAATCATACATACCAACAACGTAAATCATATACCAACAACATCAATCATACATACCAACATCATAAATCATACATACCAACAACATCAATCATACATACCAACAACATCAATCATACATACCAACAACATCAATAATACATACCAACATCATAAATCATACATACCAACAACATCAATCATACATACCAACATCATAAATCATACATACCAACAACATCAATCCATACAACCAACAACATCAATCATACATACCAACATCATAAATCATACATACCAACAACATCAATCATACATACCAACAACATCAATCATACATACCAACAACATCAATCATACATACCAACAACATCAATCATACATACCAACATCATAAATCATACATACCAACAACATCAATCATACATACCAACAACATCAATCATACATACCAACAACATCAATCATACATACCAACAACATCAATCATACATACCAACAACATCAATCATACATACCAACATCATAAATCATACATACCAACAACATCAATCATACATACCAACAACATCAATCATACATACCAACAACATCAATCATACATACCAACAACATCAATCATACATACCAACATCAATCATACATACCAACAACATCAATCATACATACCAACATCATAAATCATACATACCAACATCCATCATACATACCAACATCAATCATACATGCCAACAACATCAATCATACATACCAACATCATAAATCATACATACCAACATCAATCATACATACCAACATCATAAATCATACATACCAACATCAATCTTACATACCAACAACATCAATCATACATGCCAACAACATCAATCATACATACCAACATCATAAATCATACATACCAACATCAATCATACATACCAACATCATAAATCATACATACCAACATCAATCTTACATACCAACAACATCAATCATACATACCAACAACATCAATCATACATACCAACAACATCAATCATACATACCAACAACAGGAGCACTATTCCAGATTCCCTTAACCCCCCACCACCAGTCTATATGGGGAGAGAAGTCCGCTAGATTGAGGATCTGAGGATCTGCAGAGTTCATTAGATAAGGGTTTCACTGTACAGTACAGTAGAGTACAGTAGAGTGGGGGGGATACTCACCAGGTGAGGGTCTGGACCACCACTCAGTAGCTGAAGCAACTCTTGCCACTTCCATCTCTGAAGGCAGCGGCAGATGCAGTCCATCTGGTGTTAGGTTCCGTTGCCTCAGACTTCGGCGTATTTCAACACTGCAAAACAAACAATCAAATTCACTATTTGAACTTAACACTTTAGGCACTCAGAGCTACTAAGACCACCCCACATATGCTCCTCTCAGTCCCAGACCTCCATAAAATATCACGGTGTGAAAGTGTGGAACAACTTAATAATAATAATAATAATAATAATAATAATAATAATAATAATAATAATAATAATAATAATAAACGGTTTATTGAAAAAGTTTGCAGCCCGAAGGCTGAAAAATACATTGGACATAAATGACTTATTACATACATTGGTGGTTTAACAAAAGCCTTCATTAGAGAAAGGTGAAGGAACATACAGTGAACATACAGATTAATGTTTACACACGTAGATCATGTGAGCTGAGGTGTTGAACAGCAGACACGTAGAGTAGTAACTCCCTCACAGATGGCGTTATGAGGGGCATCACGTGGAGTACTAGTTCCCTCACAGGTGGTGTTATGAGGGGCTTGACGTGGTGTAGTAATTCCCTCACAGACTACGCTCCCTTCCTTTAAATCATCTCTTAAAAAATATCTATTGTCTAAGTATTAATATTCCTTGTATTACCTACTATATTTACAGTACCTGCTTTTATTGTACCATCAAAACCGTTTTATCGGAAATTATCATGTAAATAGATAAGAAATTACCATTGTACAGTCGACCCTCGTTAATTCGGAGTAATAGGGGTGGAAGGGTGTCCGTTTTAGCCGATTGTCCGAATTAACCGATTTAGGGGTTAATATTGCAGGGTGTCTGTTTTAGCCGATTGTCCGAATTAACCGATTTAGGGGTTAATATTGCATTATATTTCAAAGTCATTGTTTTCGTCAAGATTTTATCCAACTTTCCACTGTAATACGTACGTAATTTCAGCAAAAATATTACATTTCCGTGAATGTATTATATCAAGCACAGTATGAATAGAATATCATTGTAATATAACAGAATTTTAACCGAAAACTATTAAAAAAAGGAGTAACTTCTCTTGAACATTGGAAGGTTAGGTAAAATCTTTTGTTTTCGTCATGTATTTTATCCTATTTTACATTAAAATACATCACATTTCAGCAAAACTACTATTTATTTCCCGGAATATATTCATTCAGGCGCAGTTTAGGTAAAATATACGTGTGATGTAACAGTTTTTTAACTGAAAACGATTCGAAAAACGCGTACCCTCTAGCCCTGTTCAAGGAGAGGACTGGGAGAAGCTGTTTGGTGCTGCAGACGATGACAAGGGAAATGATTTGGATGGATTTTAATGAAAATATTCAGAAATATGGTATCGTAGTATTTATTCAAGTCAATTAGGATAGAATATTATTGTAATACAACAGTTTTTGAACTGAAAACCAATCGAAAAGCAATTACGGTAACATCTTTTGAACGAAAGAACGCGAAAGTAATTGTTTTCGTCACGATTTTATCCCACTTTCCACTGTAATACGTACGTAATTTCAGCAAAAATATTACATTTCCGTGAATGCATTATATCAAGCACAGTATGAATAGAATACCATTGTAATATAAGAGAATATTAACCAAAACTATTAAAAAACGAGTAACTTCTCTTGAACATCGGAAGGTTAGGTAAAATCTTTTGTTTTCGTCATGTATTTTATCCTATTTTACATTAAAATACATTACGTTTCAGCAAAACTACTATTTATTTCCGAGAATATATTCATTTAGGCACAGTTAAGGTAAAATATACATATGATGTAACAGTTTTTTAACTGAAAACGATTCGAAAAACAAGTGTACCGTCTAGCTGATACTCAACAGCTGGTGGTGCGTCATGCTTCGTTGTAAACAACAGGAGGTTGAAGTAGATTACCGGGTATTATATTAAGTGTGAAATATCGAAAAGGTTTTTATTACCGATATTTTTTGTAGATCAATGAGAAGTGTGATACCGTATATGATATGATAAGTTAGACTGTGCTAAGAACTTCAACATAGACTACTGAAAACACATTGTAAGGTAATTTAGCCCATTGTAATTTGGTGAGCTTCATTTGCTGAAGGAACTGCACAACTTTTCATTACTAATTGGTACATATTTTACGTTTCCATTGTTTACTGGCAGTAAATGGTAAATATTTTTCATGTCTGAAGCGAAAAGTTGCATCCCCCCCCCACACTAGTGGTGGAGATGTTTTATCCCAGCAGTGGGTGGACCAGCATTTCAGCTTAAGGTCCGCGTAGGTAATATTCCTACAAATCTTAAAAAAAAAAAAAAAAAAAAAGGTTCAGATTTTGTCCGAATTATCCGAAATCAGGATTAAAGGGGTCCGAATTAACGAGGGTCGACTGTAATAAGTATATTTGCCAACTAGACATAATCCAGACAGCTCTGTCCTCTTGTTCAACCTTAATACTGTACAACCCATGTTGTACTGCTCCCCCTTTATACTTATGTTTTTCAATTCCACTGTAATTTATGCATATACTACAGTAAAAGTCCAAAAATAAGGATGCCAGAAATCCGGACTACCCGAGAATCCGGACTTTTCGAAAACTTTTTTTTTTTTAGCGGGCTTTTGTGTGAATGTGCGCATGCGTGAGCGCCACAGCTGCACAGTGACAACAAGCGACCACGTGGTCGCCACTTTAAAACGAGCAATCAAACTGTGACAACATACCGTATATACTCGTCTATAACCCCCCCTCGTTTATAGGTCGACCCTGATTTTTTGACCAGTAAATCGTTAATTTATGATATTCCTCGTTTATAGTTCAACCCACGTTCTTGAGGGTAATGGAACAACAAAACCTTCAGTAAAAACGCTCTACGTCCTATAAACCGAGGCTCGCCGTGCATGAAACACGAGTGCCGAAGGCAAATTGTTTACCATTTATTATTATGACACTTTACACTGAAACGCGGGTAGTTTCAACAAAAATACTGTATATTTCCATTCAAGTATTTATTCAAGTCAATTAGGAGGGAATATTATTGTAAAACAACAGTTTTTTAACTAAACCATTCGAAAAGCGATTACGGTAACATCTTTTGAACGAAAGAAAGCGAAAGTCATTGTTTTCGTCATGAATGTATCCCACTTTCCACTGTAATACGTACGTAATTTCAGCAAAAATATTACATTTCCGTGAATGTATTATATCAAGCACAGTATGAATAGAATATCATTGGAATATAACCGTATTTCAACCGAAAACTAATAAAAAAACGAGTAACTTCTCTTGAACATCGGAAGGTTAGGTAAAATCTTTTGTTTTTGTCATGTATTTTATCCTATTTTACATTAAAATACATCACGTTTCAGCAAAACTACTATTTATTTCCGAGAATATATTCATTCAGGCGCAGTTTAGGTAAAATATACGTGTGATGTAACAGTTTTTTAACTGAAAACGATTCGAAAAACACGTACCCTCTAGCCCTGTTCGAGGAGAGGACTGGGAGAAGCTGTTTGGTGCTGCAGACAGTGACAATGAGAATGATTTTGATGGATTTTAATGAAAATATTCAGAAATATGGTATCGTAGTATTTATTCTAGTCAATTAGGATAGAATATATTGTAATACAACAGTTTTTTAACTGAAAACCATTCGAAAAGTGATTACGGTAACATCTTTTGAACGAAAGAAAGCGAAAGTCATTGTTTTCGTCACGATTTTATCCCACTTTCCACTGTAATACGTACGTCATTTCAGCAAAAATATTACATTTCCATGAATGCATTGTATCAAGCACAGTATGAATAGAATACCATTGTAATATAACAATATTTTGAGTCCTACTCTTTCCATTTACAGAGTACTGTACAAGCCCATAATAATGGCTCCTAAAGTAGATAAACTTCGTTGTGTGAAGAGAAAGAAGAACACGTTGAAATTGATTGACAAACTTGAAATAATTAAGAAACTAGAACGTGGTGTGAGCAATACTGTTCTAATGGAAACATACGACATTGAAAAGTCTACAATTTATGATATAAAAAAGGCAAAGAATAAAATTCTAGAATTCACAGCTTTTTCATTAAAACTGCTCGTTTTGATCAATAAAGCATGCTATATTTGCTAATGAATAAACTATCAAAATGTGCCTGTTCATCTCTTCTTTATTCCTCCTTAAATTTGAATTTTAAAAGTGCCTGAGAATCCGGAAAATCCGAAAATCTGGACAGACCCAATCCCCAAGCAGTCCGGATTTTTGGACTTCTACTGTATAAATAATAAAAAAATAATAAATAAATAAATAAATAAATATTGAAGTTATAACCGTGGTAACATTATGAGATGTTCTTATTACCACCAAGCTATTGTACTATTCCAGATTTTACAAAATGTTACATAATACAGCTCCTCCCAGACTTATGACCACCTGCACTTACAACCTGCCTCAGTTGTACCAAAATTTTGTTAAATTTCTTATTTTCGAGTCCCAACATCAGTGATTGCGCTGTGTACTGACAAAATTTTCGTTTGTAATTCACTTTAAAATGGCTGGCAAGCTTAAAGGTGAGAGTTTTGTGGTGCTGAGAAGAAAAAGAGACACCCATTTTAGATTTTCTACGTATTATTTAAGCATTTCCGACTTAACGGCCTGGATTTGGGTCCCTAACCCTACAGGAGAGGTCAGGTTTTTAACTGGCTCAGCCATGTTAATATTGTTATTATTATCCACTCTGTATCTGTGTTTTTCTGGCTAAAAAAACTGTTTCAATTCAATTCAATTCAATCCCCGTTAGCCGGAACAATTGGTGTAGAGCACTTCCGGGGATGAGAGATTTCCGGCTAACCAGACGACTTTCTCAAACCCGGAAAAATCTTTATCCCCAGAATATTTTCCGGTTACAGCTACTCCTCAACTCACGACCTACTCGACTTACGACCGCCCGTCGTACCAAATTTTTTTCAAATTACGTATTTTCGAGTCCCGACGTTAGTGAGTGCGCTGTGTACTGACAAAATTTTCTTTTGTAATTCACTTTAAAATGGCTGGCAAGCTTAAAAGTGAGAGTTTTG